CCCCCCCACACACACAAACACACATAGACGCCAGAGCCCACGCATATGACATTTTTATACAATCTGAGAAAGGACGACCTAGCTAATTATTGTGTTGCGAACCTAAGGAGAAACCCACAAATTAAACGGCGATTTCGATATCAAAAATTTTGACCGTTGGACGTCGATGTTTTTGGACCGTGGCCGCAAGCAGTTTAGTCATCCGCAACCAGAAAGGGGCGCAAATATAAAAGGCTGGTATTTTGTAATAAATCATTCAGTTTATTCAATAATTAATTTTGACATTGATACGAAGTGGACCGCACTTTGAGAGGCAGTCGGCTAATCACACGCTCACCAGGATGCAGTCTGGCCCGCATGTCGGGGCCGGGCCGTGCCCCTCGCGGTAGAAACACGCAGAGGTGACGCCGGAGTGCTCCATCCGCCACGGATACAGCAGTACGCCCCCACGCTCCCGCAGCTCGGGATGGCAGTCGAGCTTGCAGGCGTCGCACCGGCCGCAGGTCGGGCTCCACGGGAGCTTGTCCTCGAACCCGACGTGGTTGCAGCTGGCCCGGACGTGCAGCGAGGGTCTGGCCGTCAGCAGCGCCGCCAGGAGGGCCGCGTCGTCGTCGTGCAGCAGGGCGTGGGCGCAGGCCCTCACCGAGAGGCACCGCAGGGCCGGCGCGGCCGCGGCGCCGAGGCCGCGCAGCAGCCGCTCGTACGACCCAATGGCGTGCACGCGCAGCTCCCGCAGCGCCGGCAGCGCCGGCAGCGCCGCCAGCAGCGCGTCGAACAGCTCCCGCTTCTCCTGCTCCATGCTGGTGGACCTGTGAGGACACTCCCGGCACCGCTCGAACTCGGCCGACAGCCTCTCCAGGCGCGAGCGCGCGGCGCCGGAGGCCGCGGCCCGGAGCAGCTCCACGGCGACGTCGGCGGAGTGGTCGTGCGGGCTACTGCTAACGTACCGCCACCTGAGCGAGAACTCGCGCAGTTGGCGCGGCGCCCGGCGGACGAGCTTCACGGCGTCGGCGGGGTCGGTGGCCTCCTCGGTCTCCCGCTCCACCAGCATAGTCAGGGCCTGCAGGGTCTCGCTCGCCGCCAGGACCTGCAGCCCGGGCTGTATCCGGCAGGTCAGCTCGCGCAGGCGCGACAGCCCGGCCAGCAGCTGCAGCGTCGAGTCCGACGCCGACTCGGAGAAGAGGGCCGTCTCGAGGCTGGCGGCGTGCTTGGACAGCACGAAGTTGACGAAGGACTCTCGCCCGGAAAATCGGAAACTCACGCTCTTGATTGAACTGGGCACGTGCACGCTCAGGGGGTACCTCCTGAAGCGGGGGACGCCAGAGTCCACCCCGTGGTGGGCGGTTATGGCGAGGCTCTCCAGTCCCGGTGTTAAAGCCATTGTACGAAAAAGTATGGAGTCCTCGGCCGTTTCCCGGGTTATAAGTTTGATCTGTAGCCTCCTCAGCCGGCCGAGAAACGCCTGGCGTTGGATCAAGAGGGCCGCCTGGGCGGCAAACGAGGTGTAGCAATGCAACTCCATCGACCTCAAAGCACAGTCGGTCGTGTACAGGTGGTCGCAGCAGTCCGAGGGGTCCATGAACTGTGTGTGCCACACTAACATCCAGTCCAAGCACGGCGCCAGACGCAGCACCTGACAGGCCAGTTTCTTGTTCTCTTCACGACCTAAACGCTTCTCCCGCCACACGGTCGGGTGCATCGCCTGCTCGCCGAGCCGCTTGCACACAAGGCGGCAGGCGAGCAGGTCTTCGACGGGCAGGAGCTTCAGCACCTCCAGCAGCGCCAACTCGGGGAGCCGGTCCAAGCCCTGCGGAATGGTAAGTAACTTCAGGCAAACTTGTCTCACTCGCACGTCGCGCTTAGCAGAGTATCTGTCACCAACAAGGGAAGTCATACAGGTGTAAATTCACAAATCGGTTTCAGCTTTGGGGGTTTCCATTGTTGGTTGTATACTAAACGATTGCCGCAAAAGTTCGTGACCAATTTGATATTTTGGTCATAGGGGGTAAGTCCTATTTTCTCAAAAAATTACTACAAATCCATTTGGGGGGGGGATTTCTAAAATTATCCGCAGTTTTTTAATTAGCCCAACTATAAACTGACACTCCCGAATACAAACTGGGGATAATTTTAGGATTTCCCGAAAAAATGAATTTTTAGTCATTTTGGTGGGAAATTGGACTCACCCCCTATGACCAAAATACCAAATTGGACACGAACATTTATCGGCAATCGTTTAGTATACTATACAGCCAACAATGAAAAACCCTAAGTTTGAACCGATTCGGAAATTACTTGTAAGAGTCCCCTTGTAAGCATTGTAAGCATTCAATCCCTAAAGTGCCCAGAAAGTGCGTCTGTCACTTGCCGTTACGAACTTGCGAAAGCCAAGTTCAGCCTCTGCAGACCTCTCAGTGCGCCTGGTAGGTAGGCAACAATAAGTGCATGCGTGTACTGCGGGTTGGCCTACCCCGAGTCTCGCAGGCGCCGAGCTCCCATAATTGGCCAATCGAATCTGACAAAAACGGACGGACTTTCTGGACGATCGCTTACCTGCTCACACAGTTAAATTCCTACAAAGCATTTGCTTTGCAGAGCTGCGAAGTATTTTGCTCCTTTGTAACTACGAAGCATTTACTTTGCAATTACAAAGTGATGCTTTGCAATTGCAAAGCAATGAAAACGCTGCAAAGCATCGCTTTGCAATTGCAAAGTGTCACTTCGTAATTGCAAAGCATCACGTTGTAATTGCGAAGTAAATGCTTCGTAGTTACAAAGGAGCAAAATACTTTGCAGGCTTTTAACAGTGCATGTTGGTCCGTGTCCATTTTAGTTCCCAGATGTCGCCGTCCACTGCACACCTGGGATCCGTTGTTGCAGCCGGTTCTGTTTTGGCACCTATTCAAAGAGCACAGAATACGGAGTTACAGCCTTGGAAATGAAAATGATCAACTTGTTGCTCGGAAACCAAGCAGGGAATTTTAACTGAGTGGAGAAGATGATGGCCGACCCGTGGTGTAGCGTGGCGGCGATCCAAGACAAACCAGGAGGCCACATCGTACATTTCGGCTTACGGAGGAAGAAGAACAGCGGGTAGAACGTAAAAATTCCTGATTCGTTTGAGCCTCTACCCCCACTTCCGGTCTGATACGGAGAGGCGCGGAGGAAGCTCTCGACCAATCTGGGATGTTTGTGTTCTACCCACTCCACTATTCATCTTTCTGCATCAGGCGCTGTCCACGCCAACTCGACAGGTGAAAAGCAGGGGCAGCGGAAGTGGGGGGCAGGGGAGGCCAACCCCCCCCCCCAAAAAAAAATCCAACAGGGGGGGGGGTCTCCAATTTGTGTTCTGAATTCTACAATGAATGCAGTACAACTACAACTCTAAGTCATTGATAAGATATTTAAAAGATGATTTTTTGCATTAAAATCTGTGTTTGCATTAAACCCTCAACCTCAACAAAGTGCACGGTCAGCAGGCGTGTGCGCCTGGTAGGTAGGCAACACACACAACAAGCCCCAAGTCGGCCCTCCCCGCCGCGAAGCACTTCCGCGGCCCCTGGTGGAAAGTGCCCCCCTGGGAGTTTTGATTTTTCTACGCTAGTCGATGCTCCTTCAGGTCCCACGCATGACCCCGAAGGAATTTATTTGATATCTCAACTGGTATGGGGTGGGGGGTGGGTCAAAGTTCCGGCCCCCACCCCCTCCAATTCACTATTTCCGCCCGTGCGCCGGATTGCGCGCGTGCAGCGCAATCAAATTTTGCTAGTGGGTAGCTCTACACAAGACCTGACGACGATGTAATGCGGCAAAGAAAAACACTTGCCACTTTTAGAATAAATCAGACATTTCGAAACCAACACGTCAACTCAATTTCCTCGAAAACCTATACTTTGATTTCGTCGGCACTTCGGGCCCACCTAATAGCCACCCATAGCTAGTAATACCAGACACAATATTCGTGGGGTCTCCATGGGCCCGCACGGGAAATGCAAAAAGTTGTCGCTCGTCGTGATTCTCAACGCAGCGCGAAGTGGACGCGCGCGCGACGAGTGGGGTTGGGGGGACGACCGCGGCGGCGCGGGTACGGTGCCGAAGCCGAGCGGAGCCGCAGCTGCCGGCACTGCTGCCGTTTGGTTTCGCTGAATTTTCGTATTTTTGTTCGCCGGCGGCCTGGCGCGGGATATCATTGGTCGTCGCCACTAGTTTCCACCACACCGCACCAAACAGACAACATAAGACGGAATATACTACTACTTTGGGCCGCAATATAGTCGTACTGACGAAAGAACAACACAGTTGCCCATAAGAATGCCAACGCGTTGCCGTGCTATTCTTCCGTCAGGAGGACTATAACAAGGGACTCACCCAACGGTCGAACGGTGTGAATGGTGAGTGGTGTCCGGGGTGTCCGTCTGTCGACCTCTGTCGCAGAGTTGTGATGATATGGGCCAGTCGCCTGAGGGCCTGAGGCGTGCGAGAGCGACTGTGCATGCGGGGTGCTGCGGTGCTGTGGCTTGGCGTGGCGGCAGCAGTCACCGGCCGGACATCCAAACAGTGCCGAAGTCTGCTGTGCGCGGGTCCGGCCGGGTCGCGGCGCTGGCCGATAGCTACTGCTACTCTCGCCACGCCAAAAAGCCGCGGTCCGGCCGACCACCCGGCCCGTTGAGGAAGAAACGGGCCGCGCCGGGCACTCTGGCGACGAGCGCTCGGTGGCTGGCTGGCTCCCGCGAATCGCAGAACTCTGCGACTCTGCTCTGTCGCCGGCCGCGGCCGGGCCGAGCCGGGCGGCAGCTTCATCCAGAACTGGACGCAGGAGTCGTCATCATCATCCACCCGCTAAGAATAAAGAAAACGCAAAGAACCCGAGGTGTAATGTACATTACACCTTACCCCCCCCTGGCCCGACCCCGGC